GAAATTCAAGAAGCCTGCAGTTTGATAATCGGGTTTTTCCGCAATAAGTTAACTGATAATACTGATTAGGAAAACCTGCAGATATAAATCAACAACAATTCTAAATACAGTAAAAAATGCATTTAGCATTTATTAGAGTATATTCCACTGCGTGTCCTAATTTCCCGCCCATAAAACTCGATAAACACCGTTTTCGTAGGCAAACATGCAGGTTTTAGGGGTTAATGAGTAGGGCTACATAAGCTACTGTTGCCGGACGCTCTTCTACTAATCGACTAATAAAATGCGACAAATTAAATGGTATTCAAGGCTGGAAGCTCTTGAGAGCTTTTTGCGCCACTTTCCTTTGCGTCCACTATTGCGCCAAATTTCATAACTAATCTGCTTGGCTCAGACGGATGTGGGAGTCCGGTGTGTGTAGCTCGGACCCAGCACCGAGGTCTCTAAGAGGAAATTTCACCGTACCTTTTATTTTTCAGAACTAACTAACAATTGCTGCTTGACTGCTTACTGACTGACGAGAAAACTTTATCCTAATTACGACATAGGGCGAAGTCACAACGGTTTCTTATACATGCGGCTCTTATAACATTCTTGCATGTTTTAAGTTCAAGGTACTCTCCTGGATGAAAACTGCTATGCGTGAATCTCGAGTGCTTTAGCATTGTCCACTCCTGATTGTTGCATCTTTGTCGGGATGCGGTGTCGTAGAAAAAGAAAGAGAGAGAATTTAAGATAAATGTGGCGTAAGGTTGCGTCAATTTAAGCAAATTTATTCATCATTCACGGCTGCGTCTGTCTCGTGGGGCAGTGCCAACCGCACCCCTTTCAGTGATCGAACTATATTGTCATATAATTTCAATTTGTGTGTTGTTGAAAGTATGATTCTTCATTAATTCCCCACCACACGCTGTTGGCGACAAAATAAACACTAAAATTATATGTTGGAGTTATTTGGATGAATTATGAGCAGTTTATGCTTCTCATTCTGATTTACTATCTGGACGATGCTTAGCTTAATCTACTGTCGGAACTTGGACTTCACAGACTAAGCAAAATAATTATTAAAATATTCACATGTTCCCTGAGGTGAACAAAATCCGTTTCAGTCAATTTATTTAAAAGGGTTACAGTTTGATAAATTGTTAAGTATCGTATCTTTTGTATACAATTCCGTTTAATGACCAAACTTGCATGCCTTGAACAAAAGCCTCGGTTTGTTTGAATCGGCCTCAGGCACGCTTGAAAGATAAAGTCACCAAATCATACGCCTTGTCATTGCTAGATTTGGCGCACAGACTCCAACTAGTTTTGTGTTATAGGAAGTTCCGTGGCTCTTCTGGTCGACTTGAATGTCTTCAATTTTCTAACCTGCTTTTATAAGTTTACTCGGCTAGTGTTTTCCACCCTCTCCAACGATAGAAAATGTTCAGCCAACGGAATGATTTTTGAAACACAGTGAGATGACTTTCACCGTGACATTTCGCGCCACTCGTCAAAACGTTGAGGAAGTCCTTGTTTCTTGTCATATCTACGCGTGCTAGGGCGGCATAAAAGTACGTGTTCCGGAAAAAAACTTGAAAAGACGTCAATAACAACCTTTTAATAGTAGAAAGACTGCTTTTTCGTTCTAAAGCTAGCTTGCGCGCTTATTACCAGAAGGGCAGGGTACTTAGTGATCAATGACCCTTATTGCTAAGTTTTAGTGTTAACAAGTTGAACTTTATTAATTTTCCTTAACAGATAAACCGAACCTCAAATTATGTGACCTTTTCTCCCGTCCAATTTTCTGGACGATTATTCTAAAATACATGCACGTAGATACCTGCTGTCCCTGAATTAAAATTCAACCCACAGTTTATGTTCAACTTTTTGTCCGGATACAGTTATTGTTTACTAATATATGAGAATCAGCACTTTCAGGGTTTAGGAGTAGGTCCAGGCGGATTTCTTGACTATCCACTACATTTAATCCTCACTCTAAGCGAGTTGAAACATTTTTGCAAATACTGTTCGACAAACACAGAAACAGCGACAGAAGTCAACACCAAGCGTTCACCCTGAACGGCGCCTCAACTGTTCTAGGCAACAAACCAGCAAAATAATTACATCCGCGTGATAAAAGGCTTGGCTCCAGTGATCTGATCGTCAATTATATCGTTTACCTTACAGTAAGGTGGGTGCAGGGACGAGTACTTGCATGTAAATTTGGGTTATAAGGATAGCAGACTTGCACTGC